CGAGCTTATGAGGGAAGCACTACCTGAAAGGAAAGGAGTGACCAGGCCCTGATGGAGGGAAGGAAGAGGGATTCGTACATTTGGCCCATTTGAGAGAACATGGGATGTGAGACAAAAGGAAAGGTAGCCTGACAGAAGACTGATTGTGCGTGGTCACAATCATGAAGAGCTGGATGCTCATCTTTTTGACAAGCTGCATTGTGATGGAATTAGTCCCGCTGGAGTGGATAGGTCACTGTCTAGATAAAATGATATCCATGGTAGTTCATAGAATGAATGCTGTGCTGGAAGATTATGCATGTGAAATATATTGTCATTGAAATACACTCGTACCCTGTAAAAGAACGCTCGGTATACGAATTTTCGTTAATCCAAACATGAAAAATTTGTACCCTGTAATTTGTTATAAGAATGAAATTTCACTAATCCAAACTTTGAAGTTTGAAAGTGACCGATTTTGGCCGAGAACCTTCTGCAAACATTTGAATTCAGCGCCACCGAAAAGCTGTTTGTTTCTGCGCGTGCGTAAGGTATTGTGGTTAAGGATGCCATGAGGCAGCAGTGCTTTCTTTGCGATCACAGCCAAAGCTTGTGCTCTCGTTTTCAAAGTGTTTTTTGTGTTTTTTTGTAGTTGCTGTTTATTGGGGGTTCTTAAGGAAGAGAAAAAGATTCTTTAGCATAATGTTCTGGAGCTAGAATGAAAGAACATAATATTTCCAGTTTCAGTAAACGTCGGAGAGTTGATTTGAATGAGGCTGTCAAAAAGTCAAAACAAAAGGGGATAAATAAAGACTGAGGCTAGTTATTATTTCAGATTCAATAAGAGAGTAGAAGGATAGAACTTAATACAATACTTGTGAAATTTCTGCTTCACATTGATGAGACTGAGATCAAGGGATTTCGCAAAGCCATACTTCATATAATCACTCAGAGATTGTAAAGATGCTCTGATTGTCTAAGTGGTCAATTATCACCATAGTGTTATGTTTTTCTTTGTGTTTGTATGAGTATTGTAAATTAAAGAAGTAGTTTGTGTAATTGATTTCTTAATTTATTCTTCTTATGCTTCTGAATTTTATGTGTATTCAGTAAAAGTTTCTATTGTTTTCACCCTTAAAATTTACTGTGGCATGATAACTGATTTTCCAGAGTAAATGGCTTTTGAAATGGCTCTGCAAAGATTATTGAGAAGAAGTGCACAAGAATTAAATTTGCACACACATACAAAAACCGGCAGCAGAACATCACACTGTTAAGGGAGAGACCCATGCACATGCTTTAAAACTACATACAGCACGTGAAAAAAGCAATTGTTCAAGTAAGAAAAAAACTTTAAAACCATTAAATAAAAATTTAGAATCAATCCAAAGCATATTAGACATTTACGTTCAGATTTCTATAAGTAATTAATTTTGGCATCTAGCAGTCCATATAGTACTTAATATCCAGGGAATGGCAAACAATATATTTCTAAAGCTCCATTAAACTATCTTGTTAAGTACTTAAAATGAACTCCCCAACCTCCACATGCATTTTGGCCTCATTGACAAATAGGGGAAATGCACACTACGGCACTATTCTCCCTATCCAGAGCTTGAAGTTGGTCAAGCATACTAAACATTAATGAATTATTTTGAAATCTGGGTCAACTCAAACGGCTAAATACAATGTAGAGTAACAATGCAATGGCACTGAGTGACTTGTAATCCTGTCATTTACAAAGTCTATGCTCTAACAATTAGTCACACAACACGTTCCATTGAACGTTCCATTGATTCTTAGAGCTTTTAGACGTTTTATGAAAATCCTAATTCTGGGGTGATTACATGTTGACAATGTAAAATAGTAAATAAATAACCATTTAAAAAACACAAAACAAAACATAATAGAACCTGAAAATGGATAAATTCAATAATTATGAAAATTAATGTGTAACATAAAGCCCTAGTCTTCAAATATGGAAAGCCTGAGAGGATAAGAGTTACACAATCTCTTAAAACATTTAGAATTGCAGCAGACATCTACCAATACCACTAAGACATTTTACAGAGAATAACTGATACCATTTAAAAGTAAACCACAAGGCACATTCTTTAAGACAATACATAAAAACAAACTTCAGATTAATTTTAAAAGTAGAGGAAGTTGTAATCAGTTAAAATCTGATGCCCAGTTTATAACATATTTGACCTCAAATTAACCATCCAAATTGAGAAGGCAGCTCTACTGTTTTTTTATTAACTCAACACAAATAGTTCCAAAGAGCTTTACAGTGATCTTGACCTCAATAAGGAACAAGTAATAGGTTTATTCCATGCTGAAAAAAAAAAATGAGAGAAAACACAACGTTCGGCCGTGGGCCCTTCTTCAGGTGTCTACCTCAAGAAGGCTCCATGGCCGAAACGTTGTGTTTTCTCTCTTCTTTTTTTCAGCATGGAAACCTATTACTTGTTCCTTTGCAGCCTATGCATGCTGACGCAGCTAACCACCTGAACTACTTGACCTCAATAAACTGACTGGCACCCAGGAGGTTAAGTTTAAACCACAACGTTGTCACTAAAGTTGCTTCTGCATCAGGTTCTATGAATGATTCATAACAGAGTGCTTCTGGATACCAGTCTGTGGAGTGAAAGTGGTAAGTGCATGACATACTACCAATCTCTGAAAGCTGTTTTAAGGAGTGGGAAGGAACCTTGACTATTTATGTATCATGCAGCTGAAGAGAACCAGCTGAATGTGCTATTTTTATGTGGCAAACCTTCATTCTGCTATTTGGAGATTGGCTGAAGGGAGAAAACAAGAAGCCAGCACAATAGAGATCTGTTTCTCAGATGTTTGATGTCTTAAGGGATGCAAATACAAACTAATGGAAAGAGGCGTTTTAAAAGGATACCAGGGAAGAGATGGTTGGAAAGAGTCTGATCCTCCAAAGACTCTGAAATAACATTTTCTATGACAAATATACAGTAGCAATACATAATATGGCTAATATTTATTTCACATTAGACATGTTTGTGTGAAGAAAAAGCCCAAACAGTCTTCTATTTTGTAAATCTCTATTTTAAAGCCCTGCATCTACACAAGGGATCTTCATAGCTTGACTGAAAGCACTTTTTGAACAAAAAGCCTTCATTGTCAAAGTCCATTTGGCCTCCCTTTAAAGCACATTATAGCTACAGTTCACTTGGTCCCATTGAAATTGCCTCAGTCATGAGGGAATACGAAGTCCACGATCAGCGATATCGTGAATGTAATAAAAAGTATTTTAAAAGGGCTTTCTCAAGTCTTTCCATCAAAATGTCATCTAAAGGCAGTCTTCACAGGGTCTTCAAATAACTGGGGCATGGGTGGATGAAAGTCAGAGATGATAGTGAAAAACCTAACTATAAATAAAGTATGAATGTGTTTCCCTGATCAGAAATATTCCTCAGTTTCTTTCCTCCCTTTTAAAATTATCTATGGAAAAAATAAAACCACAAACAGAAAATATCAAGACCCTCCTGTTGTCAGCTTCAGCAATATGTTTTTAATAATATGTTTTTTTACAAAGGACAGATGCACCAACATCTGTGTTCGCTCCAAAGCTGGCACTACAAACACTGATGCTGTGATAAGATGCTATTAACTCTGTTGGGTTGGCCATGTTGTCTAAATGTGTGATAGACTTCAAGCACCCAAAGAAAATCCCCTTCAAAGGGCTTGAAATTAATTCAAATATCTATGCGTTGCACCATCAAGCCAGACAGGTTCTAAAGCTAAGCAGAATACAAAAAACAGCAGATATTGAAAGACCACGCAAATACCTCATATTTGGTTTATGAGAATTCAGAACAGGAAACATGCATTACAGGAAATTAAGAAAATAAACCCAAATTCTATAAAACAAAGCAATGGAAGACTGATAATTAATCTGATGAGGCATACATTTATGGCGTTTTGTATGAAGTGCCCAAATTGGCAGACACAATAAAACTAGACTGAGACATCATGTTTTTTCACTTTCCTTTCTAAACTAAAATATTGGATGAAACACTAAAAGTATACTCCATTCCAAAATGGAGAACCAGTAGACAGTTTTGCTTATTTTAAAAAGGTATCTATTTAAATCTCTTATGGGGATTATTTAATTGTAGATAAGCAGATATCTCAGTATTGCCTCTCAAAACATTCAGTTGAAGCTAAAAGATAAAGTTGCAAAATAAACCTAACTTGGATAGATGTTTCTGATAGTAAACTGGTCTAATTATTAAGCACAGATACTGCCTTTGCCTGCCATTTTTGGCTGATAAAACATCATCAGACTGACTCACCCTTTATAGTAAGGAGGGATTGCTTGTTTATTTAAGATTCCTAAAAGGATCATAACCAAATTAAGGCATATTTTCCCAAAGAGGCATTGCTTTTAAAAAGAATAATAAAATACATTTGAAATAATAAAAGTGGAAATCAAACTTTATAGCTTGTAGGAAATTGTATCTTCTATTTTACATCCTGCTGAATTACTCTAAGTATTTAGGAGAATTTCTTAGGTAAGGTGATCAAATAATGGCATTAGTTTAATTTAGCATAATATTATTCTTTGTGTATTTGATTCAGACATCTAAGTCAGACTCTTCTTGACTGAATTCTGGGAACTGAAGGCCCCCTCATTTTGGACTAAACTGCAATGGTATTACTAAAATGGCCTTACTATATATGCAAGAGTGCATTTAGACTACAGTAATATACTAGATAGTGGGATTTTTATATCAGAACTATAATTGTAGTGTGTTTTTCTGGTCACCCAAAACAAAATCAAGGCCAACTGGGCACAACAAAGAGCATCCCTCTCTTATTTTTTACCAGTGAATAAAGCTAATCATCCATTCTGAATGAGTGTTTGTACTTGATGAGCTAGCAGTTTTTGGTAGTCCTGGTAGTATTACATGATATTTAGGTGCACATGTAACAGTCTATCTTCTAGCTATGTCACAGCTAAATATGTTTTTGAACTTGCCTACCTGTTTTTGTTCAGACCCTGCAAGGGTGTGGAGTCCACAAGCAATGGTTATGTTTGGGAAGATACCTGACCATCCATTAGCTGTACAGTTTTTACTTATAAACCCTGGAAAACAGAAACAAATATATATTTACCATATAATTCAACTCAGCAGCTATTTTCCTCCATTAGAACCATTTTAATATCGGGCAGTGAGCATTAAAGTTCTGGACTATGTGGAAGTGCTGAGGAAAGTCATGAGTTCAAATCCTAGATAAGGCACTGTTGTTGTACCCTTGTTCACTCATATTACTCAAATAAACACCCTGCTGAATAAAGTGTTACTCCACAGATCCATCCATCCATCTCCTAACCACTTTTGTCAATTAAGGGTCACAGGAAGTCAGAGCCTATCCCAGCAAGCAACGGACACAAGGCAGTGTACACCCTGGATGGGACACCAGGGCATCCCAAGGGACATACAGTAAATACAAAAACACACACTCACCATCTACGACCAATTTTCCCAGAAACCCATTAACCTACTGTACCGGTATGTCTTTGGACTGTGGGAAGAAACTGAAACACCCTGAAAAAACCCACACAAACACGAGGAGAAGATATAAACCCCAATCAGATAGCACCCAAGGAACTGAACCCAGGGCCCCAGCGCTGTGAGACAGCAATGCTAACCCCTGCGCCTCCATGCCTTCTGTGCTTTGTAGGTCATCTTTGCAAATGATAATTTGATCTCAATTTGATTTACATAGTTTAAGGATTAAAGAAAAAAAAATAAACCTGTTTGCTACCTTAACTAATTTAAGTAAGATCATACAGTAGCATACACAGCAATGCATATCAAAGAGGTCACTGAAGGTCTGTATGTCAACCAGATAAATGGTTGTTCATAATCACTGCTTCATTAGCTCTCCTGGCATTATGTTGTAATGAGGTAACCAGCTGAGGTAAGATAATGAAATACACATACAGTAGTAGTATCTTTAGTTACAATATGATTTATAACTTATACAGTATGTACTGTAGATTCATTTTTAATTCTGTAGCACTTGTTTGTCATTAATACAGTTGACAACCAAACACAGTAGAAGGGTATTAAATATGCTTTTTAAAGGCAAAATGTGAAAGCAATAATTCTTTCTACTGAAAATGGTCAATACTCTCTTAATGTCTTTCCACATCTCATCATACTACGGCCCTTTCTGCAGCAATTACCCTACAGCTGACACAACAGTCCACCCCCCATTTCTCTGCCCTTGTAACAATGTCTCAATAGATAATTTTGTCTTTTTTTGTAAGGTTTTGTAAAATTACTGCAATTTCTTCCTTCATTATTTCAATTTCTTAACATAATTTAATACCCATTTATTCATATAGAGACCAATCCTTCATTTAAGGTATTTAAAGACAAAACTGGGGGGAAAAAACTTGTTTTGCTGGGTTTCTACACCCATGTGTTCATCGCACCATGATATTGTCAGATAAAAAAGCATTTTTAACTTAAAACAAGAAAAACCTATAGAAAATACAGGATTTATTTTTTTAGGAACCGAGTACTAGCAGAGCCTTCAAAATTTAAATCAAACTCCTTTCAAATGGTGTTAAACAGGATTAAGAAATATAATATTAAGAAAATATAATACTTTGACGAATGAGACCAACCTGGAATTATGCTGTCATTCAAATGCCTACAGAAAATGTACAGTATAGCTATGTAGGAAAACCAAGTAAAAAGACACAATATTGTGCATTATACAGACATTACTGCAATACTATGATGCAGATTTTATTGCCATGTGGGCTGTTCTTAAATCCGGCTTATTTCAAAATACATATTAATAAGCTTAGTAGCCAACTGTCTGTGGAATTAAAAAAAGTACAGATTTTACATAGCAGCAACTTAAAAATAGCTTTTTGTCTCTGCAAGATAGTACAAGACTTAACTTTATGTTAAAAAAGAAATCCTTCTCAGAGCAAAGCAGCAATATTTTAATATACCATCTGCACAGCAGGAAAGTAAAATACCATCCATATTTCAAGGCTGAGAGGCTGTGTACATTACATATTTACTATTTTGTCAACTCCAGGTAAGAAAGAAAGAGAAAACATTTTCTTGGAATCTAAAAATTAGGAAAACAATAGGAAACATAAAACATAGAAATCTAATGTACGGAGAACAATTAAGTAATTCATGAGATGTGATATTTATTGAGCAATTTATGAAAAAGCTTTTGATTTTATAAGGTGACTGGCATTTCACGTCAAGTTTTTTGCACCTTCTTGCAAAATTCATGTGGGACTTCACCTGGTCCTCTGATTTCTTGGCATCTGAAGAAATGCTGACCATGATAATTTGTGAAAATAAAGGTAAATATCCCTATTTGTATGGTACTTACACACACATCTAACCTGTCATAAACCAAAGATATTCCATAGACAAATCTAAACAAAGGTGCATCATAGTGTGTCATTAAATAGCTTTATTTAATTTATGTGAAAATTCACCATTATTTACTGTCCAACAATAATGAATGCCTTTTTAGAGGAACATTACATGGATTCCTGTGAACTGTGTAAATGGACAATTAAACTATGGACACTATCATTTTTCACACAGAGTCCTCTAAGTATTGAAAAATGACAAATTTAAAAATTAAATTTCTCAAAGTCAGACACATCATTATTGTTGAAGTCTTTGCCGTTAACATATTTGGCTGACACTTTTATTCAAAGTTACTTACTGTACATTTTCACCCATCTATACAGCTGGGCATTTTACTAAAGCAATCTAAGTGAAGGAGCTTCCTTAAGGATACAACAACAGAGCCCTATCAACTATTCCACATGTACAGTAATGCAAAGACTAGTAAAAGTTATACCTTGGGTATAGTGTTAGACTGCATATTCACTGTAGCTCCTTATAGCCTTAGTGTCCAAAACAATGCTCCAAATTTTGAAAAAAAAAATGTCACATTATTGAAATGTTTAATGTGAACACTTTTTTTCAGATAAAATTATTTCTGGATTTTAGCACTTAAGCCGTGGATTAAAAAAAACATCAGCACAAAGATTGTAGGATGGTTAAAAGAGACACACAATCAAAAGAGCAAGTCCAAGTCACATCCTAATAAGCAGTTTTGGCACACAGATATAACAACACTGAACACAAAATGATTTTAATATCTGGGCATATCCGATGGTTCAGGTTGTTAGACATCCTGGGATGACACTGCATTGCACTACAGGATAAAAACTAAATGAAGCAGTGTAACCAACAGAGCATAAATGATCATATTAATGTGATTAAATACAGTTTAGCATCTATGATAATAACATTTCTGTGAAAGTTACCTGTAAATAATCATGGAGTACTATTAAGAAAAGAAAACTAAAAACGTTCTGTTAGGTAATTAGGACTAAATAAAAGGGAATAGACAGTGATACTTTTGAAAATGACAAGTCTGAGGTGTACAGATATACTTATTAGCAAATAAGGGAAGGGATCTTGAAGTCTGCCAGCATAATATATCCCATTTCACAAGGACATATATTGTTGTTTATTGTGAATTAAATATTGTTGTGATTCCCCTTTTAAAATATAATCCAGGACTATGTGAAGTGACTTCAAAATTGAGTCTAGAAGAGTGTGTAAACCTTCCATTATTTGGTACTTGAAATAAACATTTAAATAAATATACTGTAGTAACAAAGCTGAAGCATTACAAGTTCAAACCACATTTCATGTTTGTAATGATGCTTGTAAACCACTGCACACTTGACCACAAGAAAAAAGAAATAATAAAAACAGAAATACCGTTTGTATTGTATAAGGAGCTGATCGATTTTGGACAAGGAACAGTGACTGTCTCCCCAATGTCAGCAGGATTCCAGCAGGTGATGTTATCCCACATTCCCCTGCATCCTGTCAACATAATAATGACACAATAAGAAACATATTCAATCAAAACTAGAATCCCCGAAAAGGCTGCATCGTGCAGCAATAGACCGCATCAAAGTGCTGGGGCCCTCAGTTCACTTCCAAGTTTGCTATCTGCGTGGAGTTTGTATGTTCTTCCTGTGTTTGCGTGGGTTTCCACCAGGTGCTCCAGTTTTCTTTCACACATCTAGCGATATACTGGTAGATTAATTGGCTTCTGTGAAAATTGGCCCTGGTGTGAGTGTGTGTGTCTCTGTGTGGCCTGTGCTAGATTGGCATCCTGTCAAGAGTTTATCCTGCCTTGTGTCTGTCCCTTGCAGGGATATGCTCTGGTTCCCATGAGACTCTGTTTTGGATAAAGCAAATGGATGTATGGATGCACAGAATCCCTTACTTCCGCAGTTGTCACTATTCATATGGCAGCATGTTTGTGTTTGTTTAACCAAAGTTCTCCATGTAATGTCTTGCTGAGGGGAGTGTGTACCAAGACATTATTTTTTCAAATATCCTGGCATCCCACTCAGTTGTCATGGATTATCTCCCATCACTCACAGGAAACAGTTGAAAAATATTGTTGGCATAATGCACTTTCCTAACAACACATAATACACTTACCAATACACAAATGGAAAAATAATGGTAGAGTAAAAAAACAACATTTTTCACTTTTCATTCTACAACATTTCTCACTACCAGAAAAAAATAAAAATTAATAACTGCAGTGTTTTTACAGAGATTTTGGACATTTGCTCAAACACGTATTACCAATGCTAATCATTTAAAAAAACAGAATATTGAAGTAACCTGGGTTGAATAAAGTACATGTTTAAAATATAGAAAATATGAATAAATGCACACTTCAATTCACCGTTTCAGTAATAGGTTAATAGTCTATTTCCAAAATGAATTCTAATTGATCATCCATCCACAACAAAAACAGAACAATAAAAAACAAACTGGTGAACATTAACCAAGTAACTCATTCTATTACCATGAATAATAGAGGGTGCTTTGTTTCTTTTACATGTGTTAGTGTTGTTTAACAAATGAGATTTCAGGTGTTTACTGTCACCAACATTATTGGTTGGAATGAATGAATGACAAACATTTTTAATTTGGTATTTATACAGTATGTTCAAAGATTGACATTCTGATTACAAAGATATAGCTAGAGAACATTTAAATCTGCTTACTTTATGAATGAATTGAAGTCATGCAAATTCTATTATAAGTGGAAAAAATACTGGGCATTTAAAACTATTCTGATGCTGCAATTGATGTACGGTCTTTTGTACATATACTGTATAGTACTGTAGCTTTAATGTAAGGATAACCGAGAAGCTGGTTGTATCTCAGGAAAAGAATACAGTGTAAATACAACTATCTGTGTTCATTAAAGTAGACATGCATAGTATATTAACAACAATTCTAAAAACACATTTACTTTAATTATGAGCCCCTCCAAATTTTCTGTAATGCTATATATTGGGGATTCTAAATTTTATTTCAAAATTATTTGTGATCTGTAAAAATATAAAGACATAAATTGTGTCAGTGAATAATGGAATATTTTTGTTTTTGCTAACAAATATGAGATTCTTCTTACATATACTGTAAAACTCCATTGATGTTTAGTTAAATGGTAACAGGTTGTTAAGCATTAGTAAAGTATTATTTGCATCCTCTAACTTAATACTAAACAATTTGTTTGACTGCAAGTTCAGGTCCACTTTATCCAGCTGTTGCTGGTGCATCCTGTTAGCTATACAGTAAGTCACTTGTTCCTGGTTATAGTTGTGGCAATTCAAAACCAACATTCCCTGCTTGTCAAGAGATCAACGCCTGTATGTCATCGGTATGCTGGAGCCTGGATTAATTCAGTGCACTGTCACTCGCCAGCCATCCCTAACGCCATAAGAATTTATAACCGAATAGTCTGTCAAGGATAAACCACAATCTGGGAGATCCTGAGTCAGAACACTTCTCCACAATCAACATGTCCTCCTCAAAGTGTTATGGCCTGGCCAGATGTGACTTTGTACTACAGAACTTGTAGTGCTTGATGGTAACCTGATTACACAGTACAAAGCTGATGAAGTCCTCACTTCCTGCAAGCATATCCCAACGACAGGACAATGCTCTCCTCATGCTGCTTGTGTATTAATTGCTTCCTTGTGAAATGAGAACACGACAGATATGCCATGGATGTCCTGCCCACTAGGAAAATTGTGAAAATCCTATGGTAAAACTGCTTCAGTTAAATACAGTATTTTAGCAGTTGAATCCTTCCAATCAATCAGGCCAACCTTATTAACAGAAAACAAAAAAACCTTTGCATTCTCAAAAACACAAATCCTGAGAATGGAGGGAAATGCCATTAAAGCAAAAATGTGTCTCCTTAAATGTCAGGGTGAATTTGTATCCTACATTAATACATAAGAGAGGTCAAATATGAGTCAAATATGCACATAGTCTGTCATAGCTTGCGCAAGACCTGCATTTAAACTAATTATGCTTGAGTAGAAGAAAGAGAGATTCTCAAAAGAATCAAGCTCTTTGCTACAGTAGATACACTACTCAAATTATTTAAAATATATATTTTATTAATAATTAAATATCAAAACTGAAATTATTCATATTGTTTGCTCAGGGGATGTTTTATGCAATCACTATGAAGTGACTTGGAAGTGACCTGGAAAAACAAATAAAGACACACAGTACAGTACTTTAGCCATACATACTGTATACTTAAGTATGTACTGTAATTATCCATTCAAAAATCTTATTGGGCAGTTGCAGTACATTTCTGATATGTAATAGGAAAGATTTAATCAGATCTTATACATATCTCAGCAGATAAAGGCTTAGTACACGATAGGGTTGTAGATTAGGGATTTGGTGTTTGATTTTAAGGTGAGCCATTAGCCAGCTGTGCATACAACTCTCACAGTTCGCAACTAGATGAGTGCTATTGATGGGTATGAAGTTTGGAATGGAAAAACAAAAACACAACCTTATTGAAAGTGTCAGTCCCACATTTTAGAGGAGCTATATGTGTGTTTGTCCATCTTCACTGTTCAGAAGATGCTGCAGTGAATTCAATCGACTAACAAGTTATTTGAAACAGAAAAAGGCCAGTTCCACATTAGATACGGAGCAGTTTCAATATTGGGGACACATCATTCGTGACCTTTTCTATTAATGGACTTATTAGCGGTGCAAAAATGTTTTCAAATTTTGTTTAAGATTCTCAAAGCCAGAATAATGAAAGCCAGTTTTGCTTCAAGCACCTATTAAATACTTAATGTCTAGAGGTATTTAAGATACTTATCCATAGCGTTATTTGTAACCAAAATACTGAGAATACTAAATTCATTACGGTACATTACTCTCATTCTGTCATTCTTTACTAAATATGGTGAGTAGTGATGAGTATTACAGTAAAAAAGGGATTTTCTTTTTAAACAAGTTAAAGGCTGGTCTTTATATCATGCAGATTATATGAATCAGACACATTACTAGGACTCCATCGATGTACAGTACTACACAAAACCTCACATCCAGATCCATTATCATATACCAGGAAATCCCCCTGCCTTTATTTTTTTGCTATAAATTATGCCTTTTCTCCTTTATGGGTGACCTAGTTGCAGTGGGTTATTATAATGCAATCATAAAAAGCAACAATTTCATCAGTTACTTGTGTCCTTCAACTTTCTTTATGCTTTCAATGCTGTCCATGACTTCTTGTAAAATGGATTTTATCTTGAAAATAGGACAAATAAGATATAGATACCGTATATAATGCACATATCTAAAGAAGTAAAGGTAAACAATGTAAACTATAGTTAAAGAACACAAATTTGGTCTGAAAATTGGTTTAAATAGCAGCTCAAATGTGAAATGCCTGTTTCTACATATAAATGCAAATATGTAGTTTTTTATTTATTTTTACATAAGCACACCCCGTTATTGATCCTCCTTATTTTTTGATGATTTTATAGTGATGTAAATTCAACTTTTTCTACATCTACAATATAAGCCGGAGGGTGCATGACTACAGAAGTACTGATCTGTCATTTTCACCCCACTGAATATTAAAAGTCTCATGGCTTACATGAACTTCCTTCATCAGATATATGCTTGAGATATAATGCTAATGGTCTTGCAAAGACCTTGCAAGGGACTGAATATCATTACAAATACCTGCTACTTCCATTGATAAGAATTACATTCTCGTATAATTTCTCACAACATCAGATTCAGGTGATTTAAAAATATGAATATGACCATCATCTGGGGGTGTTTCTGCTTTCAGCATTATCCAGATTATATCACTGACTACTGTTTTCAGTTCTCTGTATCTTGCAATAGTCCGAAAAGGCCAGGGTTATGTACAGGAAACAGTAATTTGCTAAAAGATACTGTCTGTAAGATATGCATGACTTAGTGAACATTTCACTTTTCCAGCATTCTACGTTTCTGAAATTATACTCTTGCATTTAAGTTGTTGTTTTAATCTTATTTTTGTCAGCCATATATGACTGGCATTTCTTCTGAAATCAGTCACATGTGTTTGGGGAAAAAATGAAAAATTTGCCTTCATTGGTACTTTAATAATGCTGAAGCCATAACTGTTGTGGTTGCTTGTGGATTTGATGGATCTCTTGAAAAATAATTCTGATACAATTTGACAATTGTTTTTGTTTTCTTGTTTCTGGGGTGCTATCTGCCTGGTTTCTGGGGTGCTATCTGAATGAGGTGAGTATGCTTTCCACTATGTTTGTCTGGGTTTCCTTCAGGTGCTCCAGTTTCCTCCCAAAGTCCAGACACTTTGGCAGGATAATTGGCTTCTGGGAAAACTGGCATTTGTGTGAGTGTATGTATTTGTCTGCCCTGTAATGGAGTGGCATTCCATCCAGTGTGTATCCTGCCCTGTGCCCACTGCTTGCAAGGATAGGCTCCTGCTCCCCTGTGACCCTGAA